ACCCTCCAGCCCCCGCCTTTGTTTCCTGTAAGTATTTTTCTTCTGGATTTCCGCTTATTAACCTTTTAACTGCCGCCACCAGAACCGCTACAGCCGCAGTGCCGGCACGTAAACACGCCTCCCCGCACCATAGCAGGCGGGGCTTCGTTCTGGGACACACCCGCCCCTCCGCGGTGCCCAGGACCTCCATGGCGGGTGATCTGCAGACATCTCTCCTCTGGAAGGGCTCACTTCCTGTCCCATAGACGCAACAGGAACTGAGGGAAATCCCCGGTTGTCACCATTGGGCAGTAGTGCCGGAGAACTCACACTGCAGATATTTACAGCTATGAGGATACAGAACAGGAGAGCCTAGGCACAGGATATCAGGAGAGCTTAGGGACAGGAAGTGGACTGATATCAGGAGAGCTTAGGCACAGGAAGTGTACGGATATCAGGAGAGCTTAGGGACAGGAAGTGGACTGATATCAGGAGAGCATAGGGACAGGAAGTGCATGGATATCAGGAGAGCCTAGGCACAGGAAGTGCACGGATATCAGGAGAGCTTAGGGACAGGAAGTGGACTGATATCAGGAGAGCTTAGGCACAGGAAGTGTACGGATATCAGGAGAGCTTAGGGACAGGAAGTGGACTGATTTCAGGAGAGCCTAGGCACAGGAAGTGCACGGATATCAGGAGAGCTTAGGGACAGGAAGTGGACTGATATCAGGAGAGCTTAGGCACAGGAAGTGTACGGATATCAGGAGAGCTTAGGGACAGGAAGTGGACTGATTTCAGGAGAGCTTAGGTACAGGAAGTGCACGGATATCAGGAGAGCTTAGGGACAGGAAGTGCTCGGATATCAGGAGAGCCTAGGCACAGGAAGTGCTCGGATATCAGGAGAGCTTAGGGACAGGAAGTGGACTGATATCAGGAGAGCTTAGGGACAGGAAATGCACAGATATCAGGAGAGCTTAGGGACAGGAAGTGGACTGATATCAGGAGAGCTTAGGCACAGGAAATGCACGGATATCAGGAGAGCTTAGGGACAGGAAGTGGACTGATATCAGGAGAGCTTAGGGACAGGAAATGCACAGATATCAGGAGAGCTTAGGGACAGGAAGTGGACTGATATCAGGAGAGCTTAGGCACAGGAAGTGCACAGATATCAGGAGAGCCTAGGCACAGGAAGTGCACAGATATCAGGAGAGCCTAGGCACAGGAAGTGCACAGATATCAGGAGAGCTTAGGGACAGGAAGTGCACGGATATCAGGAGAGCTTAGGGACAGGAAGTGGACTGATATCAGGAGAGCTTAGGCACAGGAAGTGCACAGATATCAGGAGAGCCTAGGCACAGGAAGAGCACAGGGGTCACCTCGTATTCCGGGGTCGGCCGTCACCTTTTGTCTCCTCCCATTGCAGGCCTTGGATTTTAAGGCGGTCCCCCTACAGACGGGCGAGGAGGTGGAGTACATGCTGGCACTGAAACAGGAGCTAAGAGGAGCCATGAGGGGTCTTCCGTACTACATCAAACCAGCCGCGCCAAAGAAAGGTACCCGCCCCCCCCAACAACATGGCGGCTTCAAGGGGAACTCCCACGTTCCCTTCAGTCTTATACTGGTTCCCTCCTCTGGTAGTCCTGAAGCTCGGCGCCCCTCCCTGCAGGTTCCTCCCGGTCTGTGAGGTTGTCCATCATTGTTATGAGCCAATAGGAATGTGTGCGGAAGGGAGGCTTCTGGTTGGTCAGCCATGACGGGTCCCCATAAGAGAATATGGCTCCTCCCACTGATGATCTATGGTTCAGTCCCGTGGTCAATATTCGGGTTCCATCGTTCTGGGTCCTCCTGTTCTATCGGGTGGACGTAGATTCGGCTCCGGGTTGGCTCTCTGATCTATAGCATGCTGGCAGTGGGAGGGGTTATATCTGGCTGGCCAATCACTGGTGTCCGCATCCTCCTATAGGTGGCAGTATAACCCAGTGGTATCAGAATCAGTCCGGTGTCCCGGAAAGGTCATTTCCACCGTAATAAATAAATAGACAAATCTTCAGAAAGGAGAAATGTGAATTTATGATGTTTATGGAGCCGCGATGCTCCGCCCCCTGCAGAGTCTTCCT